GACGCGTCGGATTTTGACATTGGCAGTTCTCTGTTACAAACAGATGATGAAAGTCGTGAGCGTGTAGTCGCTTTTGAATCTCGCCAGCTGAAAGCTGCAGAGAAGGACTATCCAGTTCATGACAAAGAGCTACTTGCGTGCGATGAAGTATGCTTTTGTCAAATTTACAGGTCATCTGATTGTCTCGAAGCCTTTTGTGTTATATACCAATCATGCGTCTTTACGCACTGCGACTCAGTCGCCTTATCTCTCGCAGAGAATGAACAGATGGCTGTCATTTTTTGCCGAATATAACTTCGAGGTGAAGTATAAGCCGGACAAGCAAAACGCTTTGACTGATGTGTTGTCACGCAGACCTGACTATGAGCTTGCTCATGTTACGATGTTGTCGTCTTCTATCACCGATCTCATTCGTACGGCGTATGCTAAAGATGATCACTGTATAGCGTTGCTACATGCTCTTGGCAGTGAGGAGTTTAAAGACTCGGACATTAAATTGTCGGCACGATTGCGTGCGAGCCTCCATCGATATTCTATCGATGAGGGGCTGTTGTACTATCGTACAGATGTAGCGGATCCTCCGCGTATTGTAGTTCCTCATGACGAGGACCTAAAGTATCGTATCCTCTATGAGGTACATGACACCGCCATCGGTGGTCATTTGGGTCGCGAAAAGACCTATGGGGCAGTATGCCAAAGTTATTGGTGGCCCAAATTATACAAATGGGTGAGTACATATGTGCGCACGTATGAAACGTGTCAACGGGTGAAACCCTCGCCCCATTCGGCAGCGCCGCTGGCTAGCTTGCCTATTCCCACTGGGTGCTGGGAGTCCATTAGTATGGACTTTGTATTTGGCCTACCGAAAGATTCGCATGGCAATACAGGTATTGTGGTCTTTGTTGACCGTTTGAGCAAGATGGCTCACTTAGCGGCTGTGCCATATTCGATCGATGGTATGGGTACAGCGGAGATGTTTGTCGATCGGGTGATTCGCCAACATGGCTTGCCAGTGGCAATTGTTTCTGATCGTGATCCGCGTTTTACGAGTAAATTTTGGAAGTCCGTCTTCCAGGTGCTGGGCACTCGTTTGGACATGTCCACAGCGGATCATCCGCAGACCGATGGTCAAACTGAACGCGTAAATTGCGTTGTGGAAGATATCCTACGCAGCGTTTGTGCTGAAACGCCTAAGCGATGGAGCTCTATGCTCCCTGTAGTTGAGTTTGCTCTCAATAACTCCGTGCACGCCTCTACCGGCTACACTCCGTTCTATGTGAATGGTCTTACACACCCACGCGTTCCGTTAACGCTACCACCGAGTGGTTCAGGGCTTGGTGGGGGAGAGGTTGCCGATCGGCTTGCTGATGTCAGCCCTAATACTGTTAAAAAACAGGTAAATGCGTTTCTCGCAACGCGACTAAATGTCTTACGACATGTGCAAGATGCAATGGCTGATAGTCAAGATAAACAAAAGGAATATGCAGATGCGAAAGGCAGAGGTTGTATTACTTGTTATGAGGTCGGAGACCAAGTATTATTAAATGCTAAAAACCTACCTACCAATGTAGTATCCGCTGTCTTTAAGACGAAGTTGCGCCCGCACTTTATCGGACCCTTTACGGTCATTGCCAAGAAAGGCACAGCGTATACGCTTAACTTGCCGCACAAATTGCGTACACATCCTTTGTTCTATGTCGCCATGTTGAAACCTTATCGGGATCCGTCTCAAATAGACGCTAAGGCGCTCGCGCCGAGCCCATTGGCATTGTCGCGGGACGAAGCATCTGCGCCAACATGTCAAGCTGACCCTGCATTAGGGTCCGACTCTCTTCCAGGGACGCAAGCCGGGAGTTCATCGTCTGCCTCTCCTCACGAAGGGACCGCACCTCCTGAACAAGCTCGGCATGAGCTTGTACCGATACACCGGCCTCCTCCTCCTTTGCTCGATGCGCAGGGGAACCTGCAGTTCCATGTGGAGCGTCTACTGCAGAAGCGTCGCCGCCATGGTCAAAACCAGTATCTGGTGAAATGGCGGGGTTATCCCGAATCATGGAATTCATGGGAGTTTGAGACTCCCCTTCGGCAGGACTGCCCGTACGCCGTGGACGTTTTTGAGCGTCGTGCGCAGGGTCTGCCTGTTGGCGCTGACGCTTCTCACCAGTAATGGTGAGGGTAGGCGGGTTAGCGGCCTCGGGCTGTCATGAACTCGCGGCTACAGGGGTAGCCGAAACATTGGGCTGCTGGGTAGCAGGCGCATAATGCGTTCGTCGGGATTTCAATTTTCCCCGGGCCTTCAATTTAGCGTAATCATAACGCATCTTCCGCTCAAGTCGAACATCTGCCACATCGGCACTTGCCCGTAGGGCCCACATGCTGCTTAAACGTCGCGCATAATGCGCCCAGCGGCTGAAAGCCGTGTCTTCTTCGTCCTCGGTTTCTCCCGCAAACAGAAGGATGGGAACACCCTTTATGGGAGGGACTGGCGCACCGCGCACTTGCCTATTAAGGCGTGCCAAGTATTGGCTTTGTGTAGTGATGTGGGGTTCCAGATATCGTTGTCGAAGTGCCGTGCGCGTGGCAACATCCTCAGGTGAAATGGCCTCAGGCCCAATGGTCCAACCAGAAAGGGAATGCCCAGATGCTTCCTTTAGGCGTTCTTCCACTGTAGGTGGCTTGAACCTGTACTGTCGGTGGCCCTGCAGTCTTGTCATATTCTTCGTCCGGCGCTTGGCGCCTTCCTCTTGGTCGATGGACCGCTGTTGCTGCTCGTCGAGTGGATTGGTAACCGTTACCGTTGATGATACGTCAGGCGGGTCACGTAACGCTGTTAGCGCATCTGCTGCACCACGTTCAGGGAACGGATTCGGTGCATGACGAGTGTCATCTTCACCCGTGAGGGTGGCTAAAGGGGACCCATCGGGTCCCACAAAGACGGTGTCACTTTCGTAATCAACCGCTTCGTCAAGGTCGTCCTCAATGAGGTCCCTAAGAGTGTGTGACTCACTGCCGGGAGGCGTCATGTTGTGTGCCGTGAACAAACCGTGAGATTTTAAACGTTCGCTAAAGCACTACCTCTATGAGGAAAGATGTCGAGTGACATTCTATGGGAACGTCAGTCTGGTGGGGGAGGGTGTAACGGGGTTACACGACGGTTGTAACGTCTTTCCGAGAGTTTACGCTTAAACTCTCCTTTGTATTGCATATAATGCATTATTATACTTCTCGTTAGGGAGGTATTAAGTATGAGCGTTAAGGTACGGTATTCGGTAATACCGTATCTTACCGATTAGGATTCGATAAATCGATAACGCTCCATTAAGTACATCATACACAGATGTTTAGACGATACGTCGTTCAATAGCAAAGTCTGCATATAATAACTACTATTATAGTAATTAATCTAGTGTAGTGTACTTAGAGTAGGACTATTCATAAAATCTTAAAGCATAAATATAATCAGTTCTCCTTTTGAGTTTAAGATCGCAAGTCGTTCTAACTTGCTCTCTTGTGCACTTCGTGCGTTGGTTCTCTGAACCCCTAAGCTTCTAGCTTGCTCTTGCACTCTGTGCGTTGGTTCTCTGAACCTTAAGCATATTGCTTGCTGACTAAGAGTCCCTCCTACTTCCTTACAAGAGGGTGACTTTCAAGTCCTTTACTTAATTCCTTAGAACTAAAAGGCTTTTAACCTTAACTCTATTTAGTTCTCTCGAGCTAAGAGGCTTCCAGCCGAAAGTCTTCCTCTGGCTAAAGAGCTGTGCAGCTCCGCTACACTCTGAGTCTGCTACGATTCGCGAGGCACTCACATTCAGCGCGTTCCTTCGCCAGGGTGTAGACGTTCCTGACAGCTACAAGTATGATTCAGTGAACGAATGTCTTGAACTGCTAGACCTGCACCCAATTGCTGACCAAATCATCCGCGGCAGCTCCGTGGAGCAGATGAAGCGGCTGACCATTGGGGTGGAGCTGGCAGCACAACCCAGCGTGCTGTTCCTAGATGAACCCACGAGCGGACTGGACGCGCGTTCCGCCAAGCTCATTATGGACGGCGTGCGCAAAGTGGCTAACACGGGTCGCACCGTAGTGTGCACCATTCACCAGCCTTCGACTGAGGTGTTCAGCGTGTTTGACAGCCTGCTACTGCTAAAGCGTTGTGGTGAAACGGTGTTTGCGGGTGAGTTGGGCAAGAACGCAAGTGAGCTAATCGCATACTTGGAGTCCATCGAAAGTGTGACAAAGCTGAAGGACAACTACAATCTACCGACGTGGATGTTTAATGACTGGTGTTGGCGCGGGGTAACAGCGACGTTGTCGGATAATCGAGCCGTGACGGAGCTGGTCCAGATAAATTTGCCGATGTAGCGGTACTTCCACATGTACTGCTTAAGGCATAATTCATCTTGACGCGCTTTTTCGTTTTTCGTTGTGAGTCTCCTCTTCGATATAATGTTCGTTCGTGTTATGTACACGTCGGGAGCTAACTCGAAATTGGGCATGTTATACTTGACGGTTGAGTTACTCTCAGCATTTTCCTTGGAAAAACGTGCTATTTTTACTCTAAGTACTCAACACAGCCGTACAACATATTCTGGTACTTCTTTGGCTCGAGCATGACGGATTGCCGCATTTCCATGTTCATTGTCATGTCTGTTGTGGGCTTTACCGGCTTGATTCCCTCCCCCGTCGCTGCTCGTGTTATAGTTTTTGATCTTCTTGCATCTGACATTAGGAGGTCGCACAGATGTTAGGCATGCCCTTATATTATCTTTCTGGTTGTAGTCTTCATCCGCCTAACACCTGCAATGTGCTACAAGTGACTGTCACATTACACTTCCTCAAGGTCATATATTCAAAACTTTTCGATAGAGATGTGAGCAGCCAAGTCGGCTACTCCAAGACATGCGATCTCGCTCCCGTCGGATCGGACCGTGTAGGACGCATAGCTGTTTCTTTTTGATAATAACTCATTCAAGTTCCAATTTTGCACCAAATCCACGCTGCTAATGTTCATGCACACGAATCGCGTCGTCTTCTTCTTTCAAGGGCTGGTAGCTGAAATGCGGTACGATACCCGCAGCCACTACAGCCAATACACTACCAAAGATCCAACATAGTGTAGGGACAGACAAAATCCACACATTAAACATGTGGGGGTACAGATAACATCCACCGACAGCAGCTAAGCGACTGATTCCAACGGAATAGCCCATTCCTCGTCCGCGACAAGCAGTAGTAAAGTGCCCTGGTGTATACGTGAGAACGCAACTCCAGCATGCAGATAGTAGAGCATTCACCAAAAACGAAAAGGTAATGACAATTTCTCGTGACCAAGTCATATGGCCTAGCACAACAGAGGCAGCTGCAGCCAACATTGCAAAAACAGCGAATGAGCGGTGCAGTCCGTAAGTATCCAATACTGCTGCTGCCGTGAATGAACCAATCACTTGAGCGATATTCAGCACTGCAATAGTGATCCAGCTCGCAAACATGTTATAACCAGAGAGACTAATCAGCGTTGGAATATAGGTTCCCAACACGTAGGCCGACAAAGTCATCACAGTCCACAACGTCCAAATTACACACGTGGGGATCTGTCGCTTGAGTCGCAAAGTCTTCAATGAAGGCGACGACAGAGACTCCAAAAAAGACGTAAAATCGACCTCTTTCTTTTCAAAGTGTAAATGTTCAATGTTTTCGACAATAGCAGAAGCTTCCTCCGTACGACCAACGCTAGCAAGCCAGCGCGGTGATTCAGGAACGATAAAGCGCAGTATTACTGTGTACAATATAAGGCCAGACACGAGCAGGTATGTAGTGCGCCACTTCAGCCAAGGCGCTACAGCATACGCGAGGACCAAACCGATCAAACCACCGATACCCGTAAAAGCATCAAGGAGCGAGACCACGCGACCGTGCATTGGCCGAGGAGCCAACTCTTGAACCAAGACAACTGTCGACAAAAGTTGTCCGCTGTGACCAATCCCAGTAATCACGCGACCAATAATCAGCACATACATGACCTTTGCTTGAGCGGACACCGCGAGTCCTCCCAAGGAAAATACAAGAGCAACCAACAGAGCTGTCCGGCGTCCAAATTTGTCCGCTAGGTGGCCGAAAATTGGTCCTCCTGCCATCGATCCCAAGAAGATACTGGCACCTAAGATTTCAATTTCAAATTTTTGCATGCCAATGTCGTTGGCAACAAGCACGCGAGAAAAATCAAGCAATACGAGTTCTGCCGCTTTAATTGCCCAACTTACACCAGTGAGTAATAGCAATCGAATGTAGAACCACGAGAGGCGTGGCTCGAGCGAGTTCAGTCGAGCATCGACGTTCATGTCCAAAAGCAGAGACCCCTGAGGTGTGTTTCGTTGCTGCACGACTAGCGACTAGACAAATGGTCCGTTACTAATTTTCTAAAGACAGGCTGATCGTTTTACATCTTCATTATGGGTATCGTTTATGTACACAGTACATCTAAGGAAAGTACTTAGGACTAATTAAGACACGTTCTACTGTACAATGTACTTCTTCGTTGAAAAAAATACCCGTACGTGTTCTATGGGTACGACCAGATCAAGGAGATGTAGGTGGACTACGATCAGCGACTCTTGGAGACTAGACGTGTCAGCGACACAGCAAAGCAAAACGGTGCGACTTGCTGTAATGTTTCTTTACATGTCCCACTGGCTAAGTTTGCGTATTCGAAAGGTGATTGCACCAGCGAAAAGCTCAATCCCGTGCAGGCTCAAGGCATGAATTTGCGCTTGTTGTCAGCTTTAGCAGAGGAAAACTTATGTCAATGCGGATTTTATAAGCCACGACCATGTACATGGGGTGAAACTTTGGTAGCACTGGCTTCGGGCTGGACGTTGCTGCCTTTCGAATCTGTATATTGTGAATTATTGGTGTCCAGCTTTCACCGCCGACTGCAGAAATCTTTTAGTGCGTCAGGTGATTAGTGAGTAAACACACTGGCTGATAGAACACCAAATCGGGCGTTGCCATCCTCGTCGATCCATACCTCAGATCATGCGTCTTTATATGACAGTTGCATTAAAGGTGGGGGAAGTTAAAATATATACCAAATTAGACAAGATGAGAAAAATGTAAGAAAAATCACGGCGTATAGTATACATATGGCAATACAAAAACAAGTGGCTCCAACCCAAGCATTTGATCATTCGTGTATTATTTGCAAGAAATCTACTGACGTCGCAGCTAAACCGGCGACAGGCCTTCAACGACGCGCCATCCGCATTCGTGCTGTTCTTGTTGCTAAATTTTATTCACGATTCGTACGTGTATGAACTTTAGCAATAAGAGCAGCACGACGGCATCCACCCACTAGCGGCCAACCTTGCTGCATCACGTAGTTTAACACCTTATCATATATTCTCACATTCTAAGTATTACATACACTCAGCTCGTCATTCGAGATCTTACGCTTTTTCTGCCACGAGCCACAACTAATCGCTTAATATTCGTCTCACGGGTCCACTACTCTATTCATATGACTCACAACGCCATCAAGTAGCATCTCGTGGGGCCTGCAAAGTGTTTTCTTGAACCACCAGCAGTACGCCGAGGCTTCCAACTGCCCAGGTAACAAAGGGTCATCTTCATGGTTTACTAACGGCTGCTCGTCGTCGAGCGCCTTCTGCTTCGTGGTTTGCGCATTATCGTCATTGATAGGAAGCTCTGTCTCGTTTCTGTTGCAGCTTTTCGTTCTTTTGCCGTCTATCGAGTGCTTCGTTGCAAGTGCAATTGAGAATGCAAGAAGCTACAAGCGAGATGTCAATTTGCCGAATTTGAGGCTATAAGACGACCTTTCTTGAGCTGTACCAATTTTAATTAGGCTTTAGAGCAACAACGGCCAAGGAACGAAGGCCTCTAAAGAGCCGGCATACCGGTTCTTTTACTTTAGGCGGGATGTCCCCCATCATGGGGCAAAGGTTAAAGACCTTGTCGCCGATGATTGCGCCACGGGAGGCTGTGCAGCGTGCGAACCTGACAGGGACCAATAGGCACGAAATCCCGAGGTGTGGAACACGTTGACAAAACAGCGAACACCCTTTACCCAAACAGCGAACACCCTTTACCCAAACATTAGCATGTTCCTGCCCTTTTCCGTTCTGCCTTCTAGTCGCCGGACCGTTCACCAGGCACGACTTCCGGTCCGGTGAAGCAAACTGCCCTAGAACGTGATTCCGTCCGTTTCGATTCCAACCGGAGCTGTATTGGAGGGATCAGTCAGGCTGGCCCGTCTGGGACATACCCGGCCTTATTTTCAAGGCGCCATTAGAACGAGAAACACGAAGAAGAACGATTGCTAGATGAATAAGGTCGTTACCATCATCGGAAGATCTTGCACACAGTTAACACATATAAATATAGACCATCTCGTGTTCAACCGTTGCGTATTCTGTTTTCGGAGTCCGACCTTTCCCAAGCAGAATCATAGCGTAAGAAAAGCAATATATATCACCTAACTTTTGCTAACCCCACTTCACAAATTTATCAAAATTTACTTGACAACATGCGACTTACATACTGCTCGACTATCTTAGCTGTATTCCTTGCAGTCACAGCGGCACAGAAGGCGCCAATCCAGGCCCGTGTTGATTCGGACGACACCTCATTAGTGTTCAAAATCTTGCAGTTAGCAGATCTTCACATTACGGGCAACCCAAATGTTGGCTGTGGCAGAAGCGTGCCAATAGGCATGGCCAGCCAAGACTGCTCCGAAACACTCACCTACACGTTCATGGAGCAGTTGCTGGACCTGGAAAAGCCTGACTTCATCGCGTTCACGGGAGACAACGTGCAGGCGTACGACCCAAGCGCTCACCAACGAACTATTGATGTCGTCACAGGAGCCGCGGAGAAAAGAAATATCCCGTACGGCATGGTATTCGGCAATCACGACCACGAGGGAAGTTTTTCAAAAGAAAATATTGTCGACATGGTGTCCCAGAAAAAACACTCGTACACTGTCAGCGGACCGAAGACCGTAGACGGTGTTGGCAACTACATGCTTAATGTGACGGCGCCAATTGCCGGAGCCTGGGGAGATGAAAATGATACTGTGTTCCGCATGTACTTCTTGGACTCGGGCGCTGAAGCGCTGACGGAGAAATACCCGTATGTGTTTTCCGAATACGACTGGATTAAACAGAGTCAGGTAGACTACTACCGGAAAATGTCCGATACTGGACGTGTCCAGCGACATAGCAATGCCAACTCAGTGCTACCTGCTGTCATGTTTTTCCATATCCCACTGGCTGAGTTTGCGTACTCGAAAGGTGGTTGCGTTGGCGACATGCACGAGCGAGTACACGACCAAGGCATGAATTTACGCTTGTTGTCGACTTTATCGGAGAAAAACGAAGTCAAGGCAGTTTTCGTAGGCCACGATCATGTGAACGACTACTGTTGTTTCGTACAAGGAGTGCAGCTTTGCTATGGGGGTGGCACTGGCTTTGGGCGGGCATACGGCGCGGCCAATTTCTCACGACGTGCACGTGTCATCGAGTGGATGGTAGACAAGAATGAGCGGCATGAGATTCGCAGCTGGAAGCGACATTTCAACGACACTAACGTAATGCGCAGCAAAGAGGTGCTATATTCAGAGCTGTAGCTGCAGCAGGGCAATCATCCTGTTCACAAACTTTAGGCAGATCATTGGCAGCTATATAATCATTTCATTTCGTGAGCTGTGAATGATGCAGAGTGCGACGTCCTATGCTCGAGTTCGTTGGCATGACTCATACGTAGTAGATGTTTTGAAAGGTATGTAAAAGTTGCTTGTTAAGACTCAGAGGTGAGCTATTAATTTCAAGTTATATCCTCAACGAGGAATACGATTATGTTAATGGAAAAGTCTACATTAGGGCCGTCATAACGCTGTCGCATACCTCGCTGTGACCAATCATGAGTGTGTTATTTTCCTGGAAATAAAGTGGTGGTCCACGGCGTCGTTGTGTCATCGCAAGTCAAGTGTCGCAACAGTGGCAACCTTTTACTTACGTTTAGAGGCAGCCCTCTTCTCGGCATTGAGGTCGATTGTAATGCCAGCACCCGCTCGATCATCCTGACAAGTGCTTGCATACAGCCGCATCAGTATCTGCGGCTGCGGCACAGTCACTCAGGTTCCCCCTTATCCAGTTAACTGCGCACAAGAACTAGTGGGGTACGGCATTATATGGAGCGATCATGTCCGAGCTGGATCATGGCGCAAACCATGTGCTGCAAGAAAAGAGCAGAATTTTTCCCAGTCAGGTGAAATATTTGTAGACTGTTTACCTTCACCGCATTTCTACAAGGCGTACAGGAGGGCGGGACATGACAGTTCGCAATAACGAGAAAATCATACGCGGGTAGTCAGCTCAACTAGAAAGTACTGGAGAACAGGGCCTTCATGGTAGCACTGATCGACAAGACCGACTACCTATTGTTGGGGTCCCGCGGCTTTTGCGATTGTCGCCACCTCATATACATGTTTGCTCCGGGTATGTACATCAGAAAGCATGTGAAAGAGGAGCTGTAAGGCGGGTGCATGGAGTTCATGAACGACCATTGCATCGTTTACATCATCGCGGGTCCTTGTTTTTTTACGGATCAATTGATGACAGCACCAAGGGTCCCGCATTAGTTTTTAGGTTTGATATGGCTACATAATTAAATGCACATGTCATTAACGAGACAACAGCGTACATTAAAGCTGTAATTAGTAGAGAGCGGGGGATGTTTGGGAGCTTTCAAGTTTGGATCAGCTTACGCATGTGCCATTGGGGACTTGGCCTCCACGAAGTGGGGCGACTTGGCTTTGTTCTTGCCGAAGAGCACCTCGATGTCTTCGAGCAGCAAGCCTTTGGTTCCCGGGCAAAATAAAAATACGAATACGCCACAGATGCAACACAGACCCGCAAAGAGGAAGAAGACGCCGTTGATGTTTAAATGTGGAAATAGTTTAACCACCTCCGTCATGACAGCACCCATGGCCCAGTTGGCAGCTGTGGATAGTGTCACACTACTGGCACGCACCCTCAATGGGAAAATTTCGGCGGGGTAGATCCAGCTCACAGGGCCCCAGGAGATGGCAAAATTAAAGACGAAGAATGCCGTGCCGATGCAAATGAACCATCCACCCACGCTCGGGCATCCAGCGTCGTTCGCGTTGCCGTCACAGATTCCGGTGAACAAAATAGCAGCGAATAAGTGGCCGACTACCATACCGACAGCGCCAATCAATAGTAGCTTACGGCGTCCAGTAGTATCCACCCAACGCATAGCCGGGATTGTACTACTGAGGTTGACACCGGAAAGAAAGAAGGCCGAGTAGATACCAGTTTTGGTGATGTCCTGAAAAATGAGACCGCCATAGCTCATGATGGGGTTAATACCTGTGGCCTGCTGCAGAACTTGGAGTAGTACGGCAATGACCACACGCTTACGAATGGACGGCTCGAACAGCTCCGTGAGCCCTCTGTTTGCGGCTTGCTCTTCTTCAACTTGGTCACCGATGGCCTGGAGTTCGTGAGTGACGTGGTCTGTCATTCGGATACGTTTCAGGACCTTCTCCGCCTCCTCCTTACCCTTGTGCAGGTACGTCCAGCGAGGACTCTCCGGTACGAAGAAGATGCCGAGCATAACAATACGAGGAGCGACCATGGCCACACCGTTGGACGTACGCCAACCGTGGTCACGGTGCTCCACGATAATGTTGACAACGTTGGCCATGAAAAGTCCCGTCACGACGGTCATCTGCATGAAACCCGAGAGCAAGCCGCGAAGTTCCTTGGGGGCCATTTCAGCGCCGAACAGCGGCAGCGAGAACGACGAGTTGCCCACACCTAAGCCCTGAATCACGCGAGCAATGTACATAAGCTCATGTGCCTGCGCTTTGTTGAAGGACACCCAAGACGTGCCAATACAGAAGAGCAGACCGGCCGTGAAGATGGTCCACCGACGTCCCAGTTTGTCTGCCATAGCCACCTACAAAGGCACCACCGAGGCAGCCCAGGTTGTACGCCATATTGTACCAGACCGTGAAGTCCGTCCACTCTGCTGGCAGCTGGGACGTTGCGGACGTGCATTGGTCGTACGTAAAATTGTGCCAGCCGACGCAGTAGTCGTTGATGAAGGAGTCCATGATGAGCACGCCCGAGGTCACACCCTGATCATATCCGAAGAAGAGACCACCAAGAGCAGCGAAAATGCACACAACGATAGCGTATGTGCGTTTGCCCTCCGTGCGGACATCACCGATGGCCTGAGTGCTCATGATTTGACTAAGAGCTTAAGAGTGGTGAATGACTTGTTAAGGGTATTGTAGTTGAGCTCGCAGGGTCTCAGAGACTGGACTGTAACAATGGATCAGGCTTATCAGTAGGCTTATCAGGCAGATAAAACAATGTAGCATATGCTTGAATAGATGAACACAAACCTGTATAATTACAAAGGTTGTAATAATAAGCAGCTCTCTGCAATGTCCTACTCATGCACCCCTAAGTCAAGCGTGATAACGAGGGGCCGCAATCGAGCTTTACAATTGCGAAGATCCGGATTAGTGCTGATGCTACACCCACCACCAAGTTCATGTAGCTGCCAATCGCCCGAGAGAAGACGTCGGTCGAGTGCTCTGAATTTTACAGCTTGGGCTAAACTCGATGCACGTACATGTATAAAAGCTACTCCTATCACGCACTGGCAAAAAACAAGCGCCGTTGCCACAAGATGAAGCTCTAACTCCGGACAACTAGACCTGTCGGTACTAGCCTTTGTAGCTGCTTCGATACGTCGCCCTAGTGTGCCCGTAAAAACTACACGATATGAGGTCAAATTGGCACTACTACCAATGCTTTAGCATTACGGGCCATTCGTGTCGGCACTCTTGATGATGACGCCTTGTTGTGTGGGGTGATAAGCGGTCATGCACAATCTGTAAGATTGAAATGCCTCGTGACAACGCAAATCGTGTCAACACAAGTTAAACAAGAGCTCGCTTTTCCATTGAATGACTGCATCCTCCAACGTCGAGAAAAAATACCAAGTATGGGCCACGCAGCTGACATTCAACGCTGAGGCCGCACTCCACCATCAAAACTGTCTGTACTTGGAATTTCTTGTGTTACATTCCTATGATGTGTATTTCTTCAATTGATAATGCATGCCTGAACAACAATATAGGATGCACGCACAGTCGACATTAGACTCTTGTCTGCTACTAAACGTGGCGCTGAGTAATGACTCCAAGAGCAGGCAAAGTTAAGAGATATCATAAAGTAGGCTTTTTTTTAGGACAAGCAATTTGAGCCGAATGCTTACTCAGCGACGTCATAGATAAGAGCAACGCTAAGCTAAAATATATGTGGTGGGTTTGAATGGCTTTGCAAACAGCCGTAGCTTAGATTTCGTCTTGAGGCCGAGCTTTTTCAGTATAATTTAGAAAAGTGTTTGCATCAGGCTTGATCTTAAATGTGTCGCTTCTGTCTGGGTCCAGTATTTCTGGGCAAAAGTAGTGCAACAGAGCAGCATCTCGTTTGAATTGTTCCAGTTGCTTCGTGTATTATAATGTTTAGAGATTCAAACAATCGGAAACATCACGACAAGACTACGGCTACAACTAACGAGACACTTGTAGCTATTAGACCCCACTTCAGGCAAGGGTTTCGTACTCCTCATTATATTATCGACTCGTTAGGCCTCCAGCTCACCCAAGTATCATTGATGTCCTAGCACAAACGACGCGCTAAACTACTTCTTCTGGTGGTTCACAAAACGCAATGTCAGTAGACCCAGTAGGCGGTAGATCACGATGAAGCCAAAGACAAAAGCAAAGTTTCTCCAGATCTGGCTGTGCTTCATGAGGAAGACATCTTCGAGATAATCCTTCACTCTCATGTTCTCGGAAAGAGATGGAGGCAGGCCCGTCATGACCTTGCACCCAATCTCCGAACCATCTCCGTCGCTCGGGCAGTCACCAAATACAAGTGACGCAAGCAGAGCCAGTGAGTACCTGTGCGGTGTGATGTCGTACAGCCACTTGTAGCCAGTCGGGATAGAGTTTCCAGGAGGATTGAAGCCGCTGAACAGGAAAAAGATTACCTGCAACAGCACTCCGAAAATTGTAGCCACTTCAACCGTCGGCAGCAAGTACGCCATCAGCTGACCAAAGTAGACCTGCCACAGTACGTGCATTGATAGATGCACCCAGTAGGCGAAGAATGTGGCTGCGCCGGTAAATCCGACCATCGGAAAGTACAGTGCCAAGAAAATCATCGTGCCGATAAAGACGTACGGTATCTCTACCGCCGTTGCTGCCACGAAATACCACAGTGCATTGTATGTCTGAGACGCACGCTCGCGGTAAAAGGCTAAACGGTCCTCGGACGCAATCGGCACAACACTGCTGAACGAGATGAAGCCAATGAAACCCGTCGTGCAAAATAGCATGCCCATGCCAGAATTGACACCGGCGTACGAGCTGTATTCGGCATTGATATACGTGATGCCAAAAAGAATACCAAGTATCAGGAAAAGGCTGAAGCGAGTCAGGTTGTACGAAGCCGTGCGCCAGTACATCGTAAAGAAGCGTTGCATCAGGAATTTCATCTGGGTGAACTCAGTAGCCGCACGCTTGTCGGTGTACGTCAATTCGGGCAAGTCCATCGACGGTCGGGACACACCGTCTTGGTCCAAATTCGACTGCAAGAACTGGAAGTGCTTGCTGGACTTGAAGACCGCCACGAAATCCGTCTCGTCACCATTGCTGTTACCCACGCCCGCACCAGTCACTTCCAACATCCACGTCGCCGGATTGTAGTTGTCCTTCAGCTTTGTCACACCTTCGATGGACTCCAAGTATGTGATCAGCTCACTTGCGTTGTTGCCCAACTCACCCGCAAACACCGTTTCACCACCACGCTTTAGCAGAAGCAGGCTGTCAAACACGCTGAACACCTCAGTCGAAGGCTGGTGAATGGTGCACACTACGGTGCGACCCGTGTTAGCCACTTTGCGCACGCCGTCCATAATGAGCTTGGCGGAACGCGCGTCCAGTCCACTCGTGGGTTCATCCAGGAACAGCACGCTAGGTTGTGCTGCCAGCTCCACCCCGATGGTCAACCGCTTCATCTGCTCCACGGAGCTGCCGCGAATGATTTGGTCAGCGATCGGGTGCAGGTCTAGCAGTTCAAGACATTCGTTCACCGAGTCATACTTGTAGCTGTCAGGAACGTCGACACCCTGGCGAAGGAACGCGCTGAATGTGAGTGCCTCACGAAACGTAGCAGACTCAGAGTGGATGTCCATCTGCTCGCAGTATCCGGTCGATCGTCGGATCGCAAGATCGGTGGCAGGGTAGCCGTTGAGCAGGATCTGTCCGGTGATCTTGCCTCCCGTCTTGCGTCCGGCGATGACGTCCATGAGTGTGGTCTTGCCAGCACCAGAAGATCCCATGAGTGCTGTGATGGTACCTGGTAGTGCATATCCGCTGATGCCCTTGAGCAAGTCGATGGTTTCCTTGGGATTGACGGGGTCCGGCACGCTGTAGCGCAGGTCTATGAACGCAATCGTGACTGGAATGACCTGCAACTTACTTGCTGGTGCTATGGACAGACAGGTCTCCCCGCCGGCAGCGGAACTCCGTGGTGTCTGAATGAGGCCGTAGCCGTCCACTACATCTTCCTGGTTGTCCGAGCTCAGTGTAACGTTTTCAGGACTTTCATAGCGGTAGTATTCCAGCGCAATGTATGACAGAAACATGAAGAAGACGTATGCGGCAGCCATGAACACCAGGCTATACCATAGCCAGAACTTCTCGGTTGGTACTTCGAATGTCGTCAGCGAGTATTCGCCCATGGTCATGTTGTAGTTGGTACAGTAGTCGATGCCTTTGTACACGCATTTGTCGAAGCTCGAGTCACGGTATTGGTTCACAGCAAGCGCGCGAATACTCCATGCCATGGGGTCAATCCAGTAGATCCAGATGAGGTAGTCGGGGATCTGTTCTTTCGTGATAACGAAGCCGGCAAACAGAAAGAAAAACAGGACGGAGACCATGGACACCGGGTTGGCCACGTTCAGATCAGGTGAAGCGCACGAAAGAAAGAAAAACCACGATGCCATCGCGAGGTTCGTCATGAAGAGCACGAGCTCAAACAGCAAGTAGGCTTTAATTGTTGACACATATCCGCACATCCAGTACAATATCGATCCAAACACCAAACATTCAGCAATCCCCAGCGGGATTTGGCTCACCGAGTTGGACAGCACAAACGATGAGGTACGGAGGAAATTTGCTCGCCGCTGCTTGTAAAAGACTGCGCGAGCTGCGATAAACACTGGAATCTGCGCTTGCTGTGCTAGTGATACAAACAACACAGCGTTGAAGATGATGCCCATGACAAGCTGCGCGTTTGTGTCATTAAACTGGTAGAACACACTCGCATACAGCAGCCCAATCAAAAGCACCATGATAGAGCGACCAACAAGGAACGTATAACCTCGCAACGTAAGCTTTATCTGACGCTGCACAACGGCAACCGTGCTATCCCAAAACGTTTGGTAGAATTCCGGGATCGGATCAATGTGTTTCATCTTGTCTTCGATCAAGTTTGGATGAACCGGACCATGCAGCTCTTGCATCATCCGCTTATAAATGGACGAGTGAGTAAACACATCGGCATACTGACTGGCTGAGCGCGGGATGCTACTGGATGAAGTCGAGTCTAATTCGTACTGGGACTGCTTGGCTGTGCCCAAATCCAACAAGAAATCTGCCACATCTCGACGAGGCGGACATTTGAAGCCTAAGCTCTCAAAGTAGCTCAATGCCTCATTTTGTGGCCCGTGGTACATCACATGACCCTCGTTCAAGATCATCACGTCGTCAAACAGCTCAAACACCTCGGGCGACGGCTGCAGCAGAGAAATCACGATTGTCTTGCGGAATTTCTTGGCAATGCTGCGCTGCGTCGTAATGATATCGAAAGTGGCGGCGCTGTCGAGACCCGTGCTAATCTCGTCCATCATCATGACGTACTTGTTACCGAACTCCATCTCGCCCGTGGTCACGCGCTTGCGCTCTCCGCCAGACACACCACGGATCATGGCGTCACCTACAATGGTATTCTGGCAGTTGTCAAGTCCGAGCTGCTGAATCACAATGTCTGGATAGTGTTTGAACATGGCACTAGCAGCGTCAAGTGCAGCTTTGTTCTCCTCGGGGGTACCGCTTGCGTAGTGCTGGGCGTCACGATCCGAGAAGCCTCCACCGCAGCA